ACCAAGATCCCATGTTACTGCAAATCCATTTTATTGGTAGTTGTCATTCAAACGACAAGCGCTTTCTGGGCCGCGCCGGGTCCCCTTCATCAGGCTCAGAAATAACATTACATAAAAGGGCCACAACTTTTATATGGACATAATAGAATATAATTTCTGAGCCTGATGAAGGGGACGCAGCGCAGCCCAGAAAGTGCTTGTCTTAGGAATGACAACTATCAATAAAATGGATTTGCAGTAACATGGGATCTTGGTGCCGGTGTGCTGGAGACATCTGTATTGTTGTTCTGTTGTGAGCAGCGCCATCCGCAGTCATTACCGGCACCCGTTACTTTTGGCATATCTGGTAAGAAGTGCGGCAAGGTATATGGGTACTGCTTTGTACACTTATCTACAGAATGCATATCTGGGGACCTGCGGCATACTGGCAAGTTGTGATTAACTCAAATATCGTTTATTTACAAAATACATGCATAGTGTATACTTTACAAACAAATTGCCGTGAAGCGCTATAGTGTTCGGGTTTGGCCTGAAGAAAAGGTGGCAACCCTAGCCTACTTCCTCCATCGGCATTGGGGACACATTAAATGTAAAGTCAGCTTTCTTACTGTCCATCCAGCAGGTATGGCTGCCATTATAAAAATGTTGTGTGTCACAAAAGGCTGACGTCTGCATGACAGAAAGGTGCAGTTCACGTCTGAATAACTGCCAAGTGCTTGTGGCATAAGCTGTTCTTCCTTCCATCTCAAACTGCATAGCGTTCTTGTTTCTGAACTGTGCTCACAGTGGATTGATCACTCCCTTTCTCAGTCACTTACTACTTTTTTTACAGTTTAACACTCACATGAGGTTGGAGAAGGTGAAGTGTATCTAAAGCCAAAAGAAAACCTTTTTCATTCTAGATGGAGTATGGAATGGTGATATGTGTTCAACTGGGGACATTTCCCTTCAATTTGGGAAAAGTTCCTCCAAAGTAGGGTGAAATCCCCTTTTAGACAGTTGTCACCTTAAGAAAGTGTCCTCATTGAAAGATCTCCCTTCTATTCCTGTCCTGGTGACAACAGTAGTCCCAGGGTGAATCCTCCTAATGGGAACACAGACAGCTATAGAGGCCTAACAGGGGTTCCACCTCTTCCCCAATGCATTCCTAGTTTGGGTTTGGATGTTCTTTAAACCATTCCTTGTCTCACTTGTCTAGGACAGGGGTCAGCAACCTTAAACACTCAAAGAGCCATTTGGACCCGTTTCCCACAGAAAAGAAAACACCGGGAGTCACACAAAACCCTTTTGACATCTAAAATGAAGATAACACGGAATATATTGTTTATTACATTTATGCTATGTATAGCATGTATATAGGTATATGTGGGCTTAGTAACGCACTTGACTCTGGACTTGCCTGAGACCCTGCAGAGCCCACCTAACGGGGTGACCCTGCAGAGCACACCATAGATCCTGCACAGCCCATCTGAGACTCTCTATGGGGGGCTCTGCAGGGCCTCAGGTGGGCTGGTCGCCAGGGTCCCTTTCCCTGTGCCTCCTCCCAACTCCTCTTACCTGCTGCTGCTGGGGCCTGGCCTCCTCCACCCCCTCCCCTGTCACCTCTGCCCTGCCGCCCCTGGTACAGCTGATACTCATGTAAGAGGCCCCTCAGGCTGTCCACACCCCTCACATGGGTACCGGCCATAACCCCCTGATGGCGGTGTTCTATGAAAGTTTGTGACTACATTACAATGTGTGACCAGTGACGTGGTCATACATTTCAATACAATCCCTCCCAGTTTTTTGGCGGTGAAATGTGTGACCGCCAATAGGTCATGCATTCCAACGCTTTCTCAGCTGTTCCAGGGCAGATCAGCATCGCAATCGTATGTGCAGGAGAACTGATCTGCCCTGGACCAGCTGTTCGGTCCTGAAATGTCACTTCTATTGGCCGGGAGAGGAGGTGAGTCACAGGACCCGCCCCCTTGCTGAGAAGCCCGTCGGCAGTGCGGGGCCCCAGGACCATGCACTGATGCATATTCCACCAGGGGGGTGCCCAGGACCGGACCTCACTGGGCCCCCCCACAGCCTCAGGCCCCAGCGGTAGTTCCGCCCCTGGACAGGGAGCCACAGCAGAGGGATGAAAGAGCCACATGCGGCTCCGGAGCCGCGGGTTGCTGACCCCTGTCCTAGATTGTTCACTTCTCCGGCCTTCTCCAAACTCTACACCCTTTTGTGAATAACCCTGCTAGTATTTGCAAAACATTTTTTAGAGTCATGCTTGCTGCAAAACTCACTAAATGTTAGTTTTATGCCAATAAGGAGAAAAAGGAACATTCTTAGTATATTTTCCCCCCCCAAATGTAATATCAGGAAAATACCACATTGGCCACTAGATGGAGCTCAGGAGCGTAGGAAAGATTGATTTATTTCCTTTGCTCCATCTAGTGGCCATAATGTGGTATTTTCCTGATATTACATTTGGGGGGGAAAAAATATACTAAGAACGTTTGTTTTTGACTCCATTTCGCACAGAACAAATGTTCACAAAGTTTTGCAGGATGAATAGCTCTGCAGATTATTTATAAATACACTCCTTAAGTATCATCTTTCCAAACAGGATTACATTTGTTCAACTCCTAACTGTTAAATCAGACAATTCTTCTTCTCGGTACTTCAATAAATGTGTCCCATGAGTTTCTTAATAATCACATGTGAAAGATGAAGCATTTTGCTGCCAATAGCAACCAATCAGATTTTTCTTTCATGTTTATCTTGCATATAAACATTGCATATAAGCCGTCCATACGAATCCCCCTCTCCTCTCCTTGCTGCAGTGCTGATCGTCACCATTCCCCCTCCTTACTGCAATATTTACATCGCTTTGGTAATGATGTATATTTAGCACTGTTCTTAATTTAGAACATTAGTCCTTCATTATTTTGGCACATGAGAGTGGACATTTCTAAAAACTGTCACAGAGCACTTTTAACATGATTTGGCGCAGCTGGTGCAACACCTCATAGAACTTGTAACGTTTGTTAAAGGAAATGTATTGGGAGAGTAAAATAGACTCTTCCCAATACTTAGAGTGGGCGGAGGACACTGTCGCTGTCACATGCTGACTCTATAGCATGTGACCACTGATCGCTCAGCTCATGGCTCCTCCCTGCAGAGAGTGGTGACTGTCAGTCACCGCACCTCTCAAGGTTTCCCCTCTCTGTTCCTCTAGTGCTCATTGGAGGGATAGACAGGGGCAGAGGTATCCCCAGGCCGGGTGACACCCGGTGCAGCCGGACGTCATCACACATGCGTGTAATGACATCACGCACACTTAGCTGCCGACGCTCATCTGGCGGGATAAGGTATGATGCCGTGTCCCCTCCTCTTTGGTGCAGCTGTCAGGCTTTCTGTCCCGACTTTTCAGAGGGGGTGGCACCAAAATGACTGTTAGTCATTTTGGTGTCACCCCCTCTGATGGTGTCACCTTGTGCGAGCTGCACCCCCTTTTTGACGCCACTGGACAGGGGAAGATGTGGGCACAGCTGGCTCAGGATCTAGAGAAGCAGAGCCAGCTGTCAATCAGGCAGCGGGGTGGATACCAACAATATTGTCAGGATCCTTCTTGGCTCCAGCATTGCTCTGGCTGTCAGCATACAGCAGGCAGTAGCCCACTATATGATGAGTTAGGGTCACAGGGATACATTAGTAAATACACTCCTGTGACTCAAAAGATGACTAAAGCCAAACAAAGTTTTGCCTTTACTTCTCCTTTAATTTGCTGCTCGGAAAGTTCGTTGATAGTTACACCACAAAACTCTCCTATTTCCCTTCGCTATTTCCTCCCAGTATTCTGAGTGGGAATTGCTGAGCGCTTACTCACTGGACTAAAGTTTCCTTTCCCAGTACATGTATGTGCCAGCAGGCGTCTCTCTAGGCTCACAGCTCGCTGTGTAAACTGGATATACAAGTTTTTAGGAAGATACCTCACAGGCCTGCCCAGCCCTCTTCTCACATGATAAAAAGCATCACTCAAGTCCTGAACAGATTCCACTCCGAAGTATACTCCACCAGCAAACATGGCGTATGTACCAGCTCCAGGCTACCAATCTGCCTTCAATCCTGTAAGTACGATCTGAGCAACTAACATGACATTAAATTTGATCTCCAGAATTAGAAACGGTCAGCTTGGCACAGATCATACTCTATGATCCTTCAAAAAATGCCAAAGTAAATATGACGATATTCCAAGTATTGGGGAGGGGCACTCGCTCAACTCAACGGGACATACGAAAGGGTTATAAACATCCCCAAATCCACAGAAGGTGCAGAAGACAAGACAAATTACTTGTGACAATGCCACAATGCCGCCACCCCATCGGTGGTCTCTCTGTTAAAGACATTCGCCTTTTGTACATTTTATGCAAATGAAATAAGTCTGCGCTGATTTGTCTCCGGAACCAGTCAATGGAAGCCAATAACAGAGCATGCATTCCAGATCTCCTTATAGAATCCTAAAGGAAATAGTACATTTGGCTTAGGCTATTATTACGGGGGTGCACAGGGGAACCATGCATAACTATCAAGGGGTCCCCTTTATAACTCCCTTTTGCTTATTTCTCGGTTTATTATAATCTGCACAGGATAAGCGCCATTTCTTCTCCCTCACAACGCTTTGCCCCTCCGATTATCTCATATTTGAGCCTCCATAAAAGCCAATAACAGAGCATGTTTTCCAGATCTCCTTATAGAATCCTAAAGCAAAGAGTACATTTGGCCTAGGCTGTCGTGACAGGGGTGTACAGGGGGAACCATGCATCGATTTGTGATATCAAGGGGGTAGGATAGAACTGCTCCCCCTTTTTCTTATCTCTCGTATTATAATCTGCACAGGATAAAGCGCCATTCCTTTTCCCTCGCAGCCCTTTGCCCCTCCTATTATCTCATATCTGAGCCTCTAATACCTGGAATCTTACCTTGTAAAGATAACATAATAAACGTGCAAAGTATATCTGGCTATAATCTATACAATCAGATTGTACAATCTCTGTAGATTCCCCAAAACTATGTAATATAAGGAAAGTTCTAAACAATGCATTCAAGTTGCATGGAATCAGGCTCCTGCAATACAAAGTGGATGGTAGAGCTAAAGGTGATTGTACAATCAGACTGTATGGTGTGTGTGGTCAGCTAAGTCATATCTGCACTTTTTTTAAGGAATTTTTTTAATATAGAGTTTGTTTTTTATTTGCATAAACCTCTACATGCCATATATACAGTATACTGAATCCTTCATTTTCTTTTATCTGTCGGTGTGTAGAACATGTACCGTTACTGACGCAGAACATAGGGCAGTACTGTACCTGGACTATCCCACGTACAGTTTCTATAGCTGTATGAAATATAATATCATATATTATATATATAATTATTATTATTGTATTTTATTGTATTTTATTGCTGTGATTCTGGGTCTGAGGCATTTTCTGGATTCGTTTCATATAATCGCCTTCACATTTCAGACTATGTAGTTTAATTTTCCTTTATCAAATGTAGATGAAAGGCAGATTTCTATCTTCCCCCGTTTTCAGCAGTCTAGGGTGTGTCCGTCAGATCAGACGGAACATATTTGAGGTGTTGTAACTGGTCTGACTAAGAGGAAAAAATGAGAGCAGAAAATCAGATGGGGACAGCAGTTTGTATAGTAAATTAACCCTTTATAATGGCAAAAGCAAAGTGCAGTCCACAGCATAAAATTGTATGTTAAGTACTAGAAGTTCGATCCTCTTTAATTACTACTGAGTGATTCTTATGCTGTTCTTGTGCTGTTGCACAAAAGACGTTTTGCATTATTTTGGAGGGAGCCGTTGCTGAGCTATTTCTGAAAATGCTAGTTACCTGGCTGTCTGGCTTCAGGTCATTGAGATACTGGTCCAGAACAAGTATGAAGATCAGGAATGTCAGAGTGAAGTCAAAGCTCTTAGGGGTGAATCAGACAACTTTGGTTGCTTGTGGCACATTAAATGATGTGCATTAATGCCAGGGCCATCTCTATAATGAGGCAGCCTGAGGCTGTTGCCTCAGGCGGCATCTTTTTGGGTCAGTGGGTGTACAGCAGGCAGAGTGGCATGGCCGCTCTGCTGTGCAATGGTTACCGTGTGCCTGCCGCCCCCTTTGCGGCCAGAGTATCCTAGGTTGCTAAGAGCCGGGAGGGGAGATGTGTGATGGCCATACACATCTCCCCGCCCAGCTCTTAGCAACCTGGGATGCTCTGGCCAGTGTCATGCTCAGCTCCTGGCATCCAGTGACATCACTGGTTGCCAGGAGCTGAGCGAGTCCCTGGCCAAAGCCAGAGCTGGGCAGGGGGGGTGATGCAGAGGCCTCACCCCCTGCCCCCAATCACCACCCAACCCTAAACCAGTACTTCCCTCCAGATGGCAAAAAGGGACGCCCCTTATGTTTAGGGAGGAGTAAATCTGCCCAGGTTCGGTTTGCAAGGGTTCACAAATCCGGTTTGAAATTCACTGACTCTGAACATAGAGGGGAATCCCAATAAAGTCTATGACAGACAACATCTGTTAGTGAATGTCTGGCTATTTTTAGGGCTAATAGGCAAGCTACTTTAAAAAAAAAGGCACGGGGAGCTTGGCACTGCCATGGGGGACATGTACCATTGCAAAAAAAAGTGCTGG